TAATTCTGATCGTGATATGGAAAAGGAGGGAGGAGGAGGAGGAGGGAGTGAGTAGACGGAGGCGCGACACGGATAACAAAAATTCACGACGCAAAACACGGAAATAAACGCCGCAACATATTCCACGAGACGTGCAACTGCCTGCACAATGATCCGTTATCACCGTCGCACCCTTGATCCGCACGCGTTCGACGGAAACTGGCGGCAATCAAACTGGCCCAATCTGCCAGGGCATCGCTCGTGGGGGGAGGGCCTCCTCGCCTCGGGCTGCTCTCCCGCAGCCGCGCCCCGCCGTCGACGGCGAGCGCGCGCCTTGTGGGTGCCCTGACCGTCCCGGGCGGCCGCCGCAGGCCCGAACGTGCGTTTGATTCGCCCATGTCGTCCAGCCCGCCCATCTGAACCAAGAAAGCCGGTTTCTGCTGAGACATCCTCACGATTCGCTCTTAAACTTAAGCTGGCCACGGCGTGCAGGTGACGCTGGCGGTGTGCTGCCCGCGCCGAGGCGAGAGCGCCGTTTGGACGGACTTTCGGCCATTGTACGGTTCGGCCCGCATAGTACGCTATGTTATCAATGCGAGGCTAAGCTATGCGGTGTGATGCGATGCGATACTATGCTGTGCGATGCGATGCTATGCTATGCTATGCTACGCCATACTGTGCCATGCGATGATCTGCTAGGATATGCGACGCGATGCGATGCGATGCTATGACATGCTATGCGATGCTATGCTATGCTATGCTACGCGATGCTCGTCTATGCTGTGTTGTGCGATGCTATGCGATGCTATGCTATGCTCTGCTGTGCGATGCAATGCTATGTTGTAGCTCCAGTTGGTTCCCCTTCCTCACCCCCACCACCACACGCACAACCTCTTTATCACCCGAAGGGTGGTCGTACATGTAGGTATACACTGGCAGGATCTCGCGGCCAGAGATACAACCGCCTCGCGCACACTTGCCTGGAGCGGGGAGGGATGGGGAGGAATCTGGGAGGAGCGGGGAGGGGTGCAGAGTGAGGTGTCTTGTGGGCCTCTTGGACTGTCTCAGAGCGCTCTGGGATCCACAGGCGCCTACGGAGGTCGTCTTGGAGGGCTCTGTGGGACGTTTTGGGGCGATCCTGGGAGCTTCTTGGACCGTCTTGGAGGCCTTGTTGGGATGTCTTGCGGCGCTCTTGGGGTTCTCTGAGGCCGTCGTGGACGCTATTAATACAAAGCGCATATGCCCAAATAGACGCTTCCCAAAGGAATTAGGGCGATGTGTGTTCCTTGCGGCCCTCATAAGTGTCCTCTTGAAGCCCTCTTCAAGCGCTTGGGGGGCCTCTCGGGCCGTCTTGAAGCCATCATGGGCGTCTTGACGAACTCTTGGACCGTCTCGGAAGCCTCCTGGACCGTCTGGGGAGCGCCTTCGGGCCCTCCGAAAGCCCCCCGAAGGACCCCGAGGGACACAGTGGGCACCGCGGGGGGAGGGGGGAGTTTGGGAAAAGTGGGCAGCCTCGGGCCCCAGGGGTCTGGTCGCGGGGTCTGCATGGTGATGGGCAACTATGATGAGCGCTTGCGCGCTGCAGTCAGATCCACCTTGAGCCAAAATGGCTACGGATGCTCGTGGGGCGTCTTTTGGGGCTCCTGTGGGGCCTCGTGGAGCCTCTAGGAGGCCTCTAGGGGGCCTCTTGGGCTCTCTTGGGGGCCTCTTGGGGCCTCCTGGAGGCCTACTGGGGCGGAAGGCTCGAATTGTCGGTTCGTGTTCCCCCTCTTGAGCCCCTCTTGGGGCCCTCTTGAGGCGATCTTGGGCGCCTCTAGGGCCGCCTTGGGGCACTTTTTGGGCCATCTTGGGGGCTCTCTCTATTGCGCTGTCGTGGCGCCCTCTTTGGGTGCCTCTTGGGCCGTCTTGAGCTGGTTTCTGGGGCCTCATGGGCTGTCTTGAACCGTTGGAAGCACGAAACAGCGAGAACACGAACAACCTTCAAAAACCATTGAGGAAACCTACTTGCTTCGCCTCCTGAGTGCCTCGTGGGAGCACTTTTGAGGGCATCTTGGCCATCTTGAAGCTCTCTTGGGCTGTCTTCAAAGCCATGTTGGACCAATTTTGGAACGCTCTTGTGCGGTCTTGGGCTCTCTCGGACCGGTCGTGGGCCATCAAGGCGCCCTCTTGGACGTCTCTCGGCCCCTTTTGACGTTTTTTGGCGCCCCCCGCTGGGCCCGAAACGGTCAGACGAAAAATCAGTGCACTTCGGAGGGCCCGGGACCCCCTACCCATTATACGTATATATATATATATATATATATATATATATATATGTATATGTATGTATATACATACATATATATATACACACTATATATTATGCATACATAAACCAACACAGCACACACACATAAATATATATAAATATGTATATATATATATACACGCGTGTACATGTATGTGTATATGTATGTAAAAATGTGCATATATATAGATATTCATATATACATACATACATACATACATACATACATACATACATACATACATACATACATACATACATACATACATACATACATACATGAATGCATACATACATACATACATACATACATACATACATACATACATACATGCATGCATACATACATACATACATACATGCACATACATACATACATTTCGGAGGGCTCTTGGGCTGTGTATTGGCCGTGTTGGGCCCATCTGGGGCCACGTTCGGGCCATCAGGGCCGCCTTGGGGCCTCCCGCTCCCGCTGTGGGGCCCAGCATGGGCCTGTCCTGGGGCTCTCTTGGGCCGTCTGAGGCTCGTCCCAGGCAATTTTCGGGCTCCCTTGGGCAATCTTGGTGCTCTGTTGGAGGTCTTTTCGGCGGTTTGGGGGCGTCGTCGGCTGTCGTAGAGCGCCGGGAGGTCGAAAACGCGAGACACCGAAAAACATTTCAAAAACCAACGGAAATCAAGGATTTGAGCCTCTTCGGGCTCTCGGGATGCTTCTCGGAGCTCTCTTGAGGCCTCTTGGAGGCCTCTTGGGCTGTGTATTTGCGGTCTCGAACCCATCCTGGACCACGTTAAGGCTATCTGGGCTGTCTTGGAAGGGCTTGTCGAAGTCCCCGAGGGCTTCTGGGAGCTCTCTGGGATAGTCTGGGAGCTCCAGGGCCGCTCCGGGGTGCTCTGGGAGCGGACTGGGGAACCCTGGTCCTCCGATGCCCTGTCGTGGTCGCGGCCCCGGTCGCCCGGGCCTCGTGCACGGGGATATCTACATCTCTCTCTCTCTCTCTCTCTCTCTCTCTCTCTCTCTCTCTCTCTATTTATGTATATATGCACACATCGACATATACATATACGTCTGCAAATACATATGCATTTCCATATGCATCTACATCTACATCTACATCTACATATGCCATACATGTAAAAATATATGTGCATATTCATTTACATCTACATCTACATATACATATACATATACGTATACAAATACATATGCATGCCCATATGTAAATACATATAGAAATGCAGATACATCTACGTATACACATAGGCATACATACACATCTACATAAACATAAGCATATGCACATACGCATACCTAAACCTATACATATACATACACATATAAATATAAGTATGCATACGCGTGTGCATGCATCTATATTTGAAAATAAAATCATATCTATGCAAATGCATATGCCTATGTACAGATGCACCTATACACAACATGCTGCATATATATACATATTCACGTGCATTGCATGTACATGTACATGTATATATACATATACCTATACAAATACATTTACAGCAACATGTACATACACATATACTTGTACACATACATGTGCATATACATGTACATATACATATATATACATATATATATATATATATATATATATATACAATACTGAACCACGCGCGCGCTGCGCGCGCGCTTTGGTTCTAGCAAGATGCGGCGACGGTCTAGGGTTCGCAGCATCGGAGAGCAGAAAGACTTCTATCAATCATGATCAATCAGGTCGAAATAGGATTCCGCATGATCCCACTTCAGCTGCCTACATACCCTTTGTTTCATTCCCAGGGGGGCGCCTCGAGAAAACAACTCACACACGTACAGCAGCAGCTCGTGTGTCCACCGGGGGGAGGAGGGGGGCGCAATGCCCCATGTGCATCGTCGGGGTCTTTCCTTGCGCTACGGCCACCTGCAACTTCCGCGTCCCTCGACAACACGGACAGCATTGCCTCGTCTGCCAACCGCCCGCCCTGCTCCACTTCTGCCGCGCGCCCCCGTGCACGAACGTAGTCGAGTCGCCAGAGGACACTTTGTGTTGTGTACTTCGTCCTGTTTCCCACGCTCGGCGCGTAGGTGCGACGGCCGTTCCACCCCTGTCTCAGCAGGCCTGTGTCGAACGTGCGGGCTGTCCACACCACAACCACTACCATCCCTCTCCAAACGATCCTACGAGCAAGCCGAACGCCCTTGTAGTTCGTCTGGGTGCAACGGTGTAGCTCAACGGAAGTCGTCCGACGGCCTCTGCATCGCGTGCATTCGGAAAGGGAAGCCATGTAGCAATCGTGCCATATTGGGTGCGTTTTTCTCGTGGGCCCTCTCGGCACCGTGGTGACATGTAGGCACTGTTGCCTCGCGGGGCCCCCTTGCCAGGGGCCCGGAAAGGCCGGCTGCCGCGCCCCCGCCCGCCATGGCGTGCGACGCGCAGTGCCGCACAACAGCGGCATGTGCGAACGTTGCTTTAAACCCACATGTTCCTTCCCACTGTGCGACAGAAAGTTGACGAAAGCAATGAACGCCACCGGATACTGCCCCGACCACGTCCGACATGCCGCGGTAGCCACCGCCGCCGCCGGGCCCCATCATCCTCCGCCGTCGGGGTCTTCTGGTGTCCCACACGCCCGTCCACGTAGCGATCCGTTGCAAGCACTCCGCCAGCAGGTGGCGGCAGCCGTCCGCATGTACCTCCGAGCACGTCACTCGCCGAAATGTTCCGTGCCGTGGTGTCGCCTCAAGTCCACCCGCGTAGCACTTCCGAACTCGTCCAGCTGTCCGCCCGCCTGCGCAGCGCATCGGAACTGGTTCGCAGAACCCGTGCCTGGGACTTCTCTTGGCGTACGCACCGGCCACCGCGCCGGCTGGTGGTCGACAGACGAATGGTGCAGCAAACGCGTTCCGAAAGCGTCGCTCTCTCCGACCGGCCACTTTCAAGGAGCCTGCGCAACGTGCGGGGCTCTGCATTTCTTCGCCGAACGCGCGCGTTGCCCGGCAGCACGCAGAAAGGACTTCGGCGCGTGCTGCAGGTACGGGGCCCTGGCTGGCATCCCCCTACTGCCTCCCGCTCCGGCCGAAATGGCTCAGCTCCTTCGTCCGGGTCCTTCCCACGACCACTTCATGCAGCACATTCGGTCGTACAACTGCGCCCTTGGATTCGCATCCTTCAACAGCGAGAGCACTGTCGCCGCACGGAAGACCCCTTGTCGGGCACCCGGGCACCCGGGCACCCGGGCACTGCAGGCACCCCGGCACCAGGGCATCCGGGCATCCCCCGGGCACCCGGGAAGGAGGAGGGAGGATGAGGAGGAGGAGAAGGAGGAGGAGTGAACGTCGGGCAGGCGCCCAGCGCAATCCGAGCCGAGGGTAGAACCAGAAGGAGTAGGAGGTAGAGGGGACCGGGAGGACCGTTTCGGCTGTTCGAAAAAAACACCTCATCCATGTCCTCCTCCTCCTCCGGAGGGATCTCAGTCCCAGCTGGCGTGGAGCTGGAGGTCGATCCTCCACCGTCAGCACAACCACAGGGGCAGCAGCATGATCGAGTCGTCGACCCTTCGTCCGAGTCGTCGTGTACCGTCGAAGCTGCTGCCCCAACATCTCTCCCTCTTGGACCGCGCGATGCGGAAGAGGAAGCAGCCTGTTCATTGTTTGGCTTGCCTGGTGAGAGTCCCTCCCAGCAGGCCGTGCAGCAGGTGCCTGAACCAGCCTCGTCGGCTGGAGCGTTCGGCCGAGACCGAGCTGCCTCCGTCCTTGAAGAGGACGAGGCCTCGCTCGTCGCCGTCGCTGCACTACAGTCTGACGACTCAGACTAGGAGATGCAGCATGCGTCCTCCGCGTGTGGTGCGTCTCGCCCTGACCTCATTCTTCTCTGGTCGTGGGCTTAGGGGGGCAGGCGGTGAGCCACAGGGGATCCTCCCCTCCTGTGGGAAATCGCCCCGTGGCTTTCGCGCCTGCCCTCCTATCTTCGTTTCACTGCTCGCTGGCCTGCTACAGGCCAGATAGCAGGGGGCGACGACCTCTGGGCGTCGCTCTTGTTGTCACGGTTGATGTCAAAAAAATCCTCCTGCTCGTTCTCTTCCCCCTCCCTTCCATAATCAGACTATTCCTCCGCCGGCTCGGCTCGCCCCGGCCCGGCCCGGCTCGGCCAGCGGAGGAGGAGGAGGGAGGAGGAGTGGGAGGATGAAGACAGGACAGAGGGGGGAGTAGGACGACGAGGAGGAGGAGGAGGAGGAGGAGGAGGACGAGGAGGAGAAGGGGGAGAAAGAGCGAGGAGGCGGGGAGGGACATGGGCAAGGGGAGGCGGATGAGGACTAATTTCGTGGAGGAGCAGGCGTTCGCAACCGGCGCAGCATCCAGGCAGAAGAGGAGGAGGAGGAGCAGGAGGAGGAAGAGCAGGAGGAGGAGGAGGAGGAGGAGGAGGAGGAGGAGGAAGCGCAGGAGGAGGCCCGGTTCGCCTGAGACATCCTCAAAGCTCTGGGTTCCGAGACGTCCTGACCTGAGTTGGTCAGACCACTTTCGCCTGAGACATCCTCGAAACTCTGACCTCGGAGGTGCCCTGCCCCACGGTGGTCCGAGACAGCCCAAGAGAGCTTCAAGATGGCCAAGATGCCCTCAAAAGTGCCCCCACGAGGCACTCAGGAGGCGAAGCAAGTAGGTTTCCTCAATGGTTTTTGAAGGTTGTTCGTGTTCTCGCTGTTTCGTGCTTCCAACGGTTCAAGACAGCCCATGAGGCCCCAGAAACCAGCTCAAGACGGCCCAAGAGGCACCCAAAGAGGGCGCCGCGACGGCGCAATAGAGAGAGCCCCCAAGATGGCCCAAAAAGTGCCCCAAGGCGGCCCTAGAGGCGCCCAAGATCGCCTCAAGAGGGCCCCAAGAGGGGCTCAAGAGGGGGAACACGAACCGACAATTCGAGCCTTCCGCCCCAGTAGGCCTCCAGGAGGCCCCCAAGAGGCCCCAAGAGAGCCCAAGAGGCCTCCTAGAGGCTCCACGAGGCCCCACAGGAGCCCCCAAAGACGCCCCACGAGCATCCGTAGCCATTTTGGCTCAAGGTGGATCTGACTGCAGCGCGCAAGCGCTCATCATAGTTGCCCATCACCATGCGGACCCCGCGACCAGACCCCTGGGGCCCGAGGCTGCCCACTTTTCCCAAACTCCCCCCTCCCCCCGCGGTGCCCACTGTGTCCCTCGGGGTCCTTCGGGGGGCTTTCGGAGGGCCCGAAGGCGCTCCCCAGACGGTCCAGGAGGCTTCCGAGACGGTCCAAGAGTTCGTCAAGACGCCCATGATGGCTTCAAGACGGCCCGAGAGGCCCCCCAAGCGCTTGAAGAGGGCTTCAAGAGGACACTTATGAGGGCCGCAAGGAACACACATCGCCCTAATTCCTTTGGGAAGCGTCTATTTTGGGCATATGCGCTTTGTATTAATAGCGTCCACGACGGCCTCAGAGAACCCCAAGAGCGCCGCAAGACATCCCAACAAGACCTCCAAGACGGTCCAAGAAGCTCCCAGGATCGCCCCAAAACGTCCCACAGAGCCCTCCAAGACGACCTCCATAGGCGCCTGTGGATCCCAGAGCGCTCTGAGACAGTCCAAGAGGCCCACAAGACACCTCACTCTGCACCCCTCCCCGCTCCTCCCAGATTCCTCCCCATCCCTCCCCGCTCCAGGCAAGTGTGCGCGAGGCGGTTGTATCTCTGGCCGCGAGATCCAGCCAGTGTATACCTACATGTACGACCACCCTTCGGGTGATAAAGAGGTTGTGCGTGTGGTGGTGGGGGTGAGGAAGGGGAACCAACTGGAGCTACAACATAGCATTGCATCGCACAGCAGAGCATAGCATAGCATCGCATAGCATCGCACAACACAGCATAGACGAGCATCGCGTAGCATAGCATAGCATCGCATAGCATCGCATCGCATAGCATGTCATAGCATCGCATCGCATCGCGTCGCATATACTAGCATATCATCGCATGGCACAGTATGGCGTAGCATAGCATCGCATCGCACAGCATAGTATCGCATCGCATCACACCGCATAGCTTAGCCTCGCATTGATAACATAGCGTACTATGCGGGCCGAACCGTACAATCGCCGAAAGTCCGTCCAAACGGCGCTCTCGCTTCGGCGCGGGCAGCACACCGCCAGCGTCACCTGCACGCCGTGGCCAGCTTAAGTTTAAGAGCGAATCGTGAGGATGTCTCAGCAGAAACCGGCTTTCTTGGTTCAGATGGGCGGGCTGGACGACATGGGCGAATCAAACGCACGTTCGGGCCTGCGGCGGCCGCCCGGGACGGTCAGGGCACCCACACGGCGCGCGCTCGCCGTCGACGGCGGGGCGCGGCTGCGGGAGAGCAGCCCGAGGCGAGGAGGCCCTCCCCCCACGAGCGATGCCCTGGCAGATTGGGCCAGTTTGATTGCCGCCAGTTCCGTCGAACGCGTGCAAATCAAGGGTGCGACGGTGATAACGGATCATTGTGCAGGCAATTGCACGTCTCGTGGAATATGTTGCGGTGTTTATTTCCGTGTTTTGCGTCGTGAATTCTTGTTATCCGTGTCGCGCCTCCGTCTACTCACTCCCTCCTCCTCCTCCTCCCTCCTTTTCCATATCACGATCATGAGTATCGCGATGTGACAGGCCTCGCACTTGGGCAACACAAGGGGGTGCCGCCAGGGGATAATTAGGACACTTACCGGTTCGTGCCCAGATTGTGGGGATGTCTCCAGCGGTTCGCTTGTTTCACGGATGTAGGCGCGTCTTTTTCAGGGCCGCGTGGTGTTCGCGATGTCGCAACAAACGTTGCTGGGCGCCACAATGGTGAGCGACCACGGGGTGGGACATTTGCCCACTTGCGGTCAGCATTCGGGGATATCTCACGCGAGACGTTGGCTTTTTGAGGTGGGTGTACTTTTTTTCAGGGCCGCCACGAAGGAAGCGAATACTCGGATCAGTCCCGGCAGTCGCCGCGGTACTGGGAAGACCGTCGGATCGATCATTTCGTTGTCGATTTTTTTGGCGCGTACCGTTCAAACCTTCAGGGTGGCCCAGTGTTGGCAAATTTTGCGCGGTGGTTGCACGACGAAGGTGGGCGCACCATAGAACCCTTCACGACAGCCCATCGTTGTAAAGATTTTCGCCGCGGTTGTAAGACGAGCGCGGGCACGGTGATCGCGCGCATTTGGGTGTTCACATTCGTTATGGCGCTCGCATGTGGTTCGCTAGACGTAAAATTTGTAAGGATCTTGGACGTGACAAATCTGTGATGAGCCTTGGCTAGGTCGTGTGCGGGCCTTCACTGGGTTCTGGGTAGGCCATGTATCAGCTCTTGAAAGGCCGCCAGGTAAGCCTGAGGCAGGCATTGGATAGGCCGTCGGGCTGACCTTGGACAGGCCTGGGGGTTCGTGGGCAGGCATTGGGCAGGATCCGAGGGGAGCGGTGCTCTGGCGCCGCCTGGACCGCAGAAAGGAGACCCACCTTCTGCAGGCCCACGGCAACCTGGGGCTCCCCTTCACATTAGCTTGAGCTTGATGTTCTTCCTTCGCTGTGAGCGCCGCTCCATTTTCGATCCAAATTATTTGAAGTCCAGCTGTATGCGCTTGAGCTTGAACTTCCGCTCAACGCGCGGAAGCTTCGCTCCATTTTGTAGTTCTCTTTTAGCTTGAGCTTGAACTTCCGCTCAACACGCGGAAGCTTCGCTCCATTGCCATAATTCGTGGGAATGCCGAGACATTGGGTTTGCTCGAGGTGGGCCTTGGACGCTCTGGGTCGTCTAGGCCTTGGATAGGCGTAGAGTGCGTGAGGGGTGTGCCGAAATCGGGCCCATTGAGCCGTCTTGAGAGGTACGTAGCTGTTTCTTATGTCTTGTTTCGCCGATCGGCGCGGGCCCCCGCTCCCTCCTCCCCAAAGACCAGATCTTGGCTGCTTAAAGCGGCTGCTTCAACCGGGTTGATTAAGCACTGGGGCCCGCCCCCCCTCCTCCCCCGGTGGACACACGAGCTGCTGCGGTACGTGTGTGAGTTGTTTTCTCGAGGCGCCCCCCTGGGAATGAAACAAAGGGTATGTAGGCAGCTGAAGTGGGATCATGCGGAATCCTATTTCGACCTGCGGCCCTCTGTATGTTTCATGGTTGCAC